TATATATATATATATATATATATACAGTACATCATAAATATACACAGTACACACACATATATTTTGTAAACAAAAACTTTTATTTTGGATGCGATTAATGCTTGACAGCACCAGAACTGATACATTTTGAAAATTGCATCAAATATCCAGCTCTATATGTATGGCTTTTCTGATATAGTAAACTTGCTCACTAGCGCACCCGGTACAGCAGTGCATTTCAAAGCTTAAAGACTTTTATAAGCAAACTAAAATGGCCTGGTTGCTTTAGCTAACTGTTTTTGTTAGCACGGTTAGATTTAGTGTTGGCATTTCATTTTTAAACTGCCGTGATACATACAACAACAAATTTTTTTTTGCCAGATTCACGTTCATCTGTTTTGGATAAAACTAAACATGCTAGACTAGACTAAACTAGACATTTGTGAAAGAAGCAATGTAATACCATTTTGTAGAAATGTCACCACAGGCACATATGTACAAACGTGCCGTAAAATAGCAAAATAATGTCAAAATATTAACAGACAAAAAATCCCATTTTGATATTTTCTGGGATTGTTTCAATAACAATAATTTAACAATATTTTGCTGAGTGTGTTTTTGTGCTGGTACTTGGCTGGTTTACATTTATATTTAGGTAATTTAGCAGAGACTTTTATCCAAAGTGACTTACAGATGAGGACGATAGAAGCTATAAAAAAACAAAAGAAGAGCAACAATATGTAAGTGCTGTGACAAGTCCCGGTTAGTCTAAAGCAGTACATGTAGCAAGGTTTTTTTTTAAATTTTTTTTAATAATAATAAGAATGAAAAGTGTACATAGAATAGAGAGTGCTAGTGTTAGAGGGTCACTTTTTTAATAAATAAAAAAGAAAACAAGTAGATAGAATAGAAATAGAATAGAGAGTGTTATTGTTAGAGGGTAAGAGTGTAGATGGAAGAGGTGTGTCTTTAGCCATTTCTTGAAAATGCTAAGAATAAAATACTATCTGTCTAATACCAATCAAATGAAATTAGTATCAACAAAATCCATCTTTGCACTGCCGAAGTGGCACTGAAGCTGCATCTGAAGCGGCATTTAGATACATTTACACAGACTGTTTATTGCAGCTCAGAGGTGGAATGAATGCATTTACCCTGCATTTATAAATGCATGAATAATGTTATGAGATTTAAAAAAAGATATTTAAGTATGAGATGATTTAAAAAGCAATAATTGATACTTTTAAGTGTGAAAATTTAACTGCCAGTAGGTGGCGGCAAGTCCTAATGAGTGAGTCACTTCAAATAATTAATTCAAAAGGCTGATTCATTCAGTCATTGAATCATTCATTAAACTGATTTGTTCAAAACGCAGATTCATTCAGTAAAATACCGCTATGTGTTGCTTGCAGACGGTTCTGCTGTGGTTCATCTGGAAATTTTTATGACAGAAAAAAGCAAAAACATACAATATTGACAGTATTTTGTAACTCAAAATGTTGTTTATTTAGCTGTTTTTATAAAATCAGTATGACTTTTGCATAATTTTTGGAATAACAGAACTCGTGTGATATTGCCTGACTATACCGTTTAGTATAAATATAAAATTGGCCCTGTATATCTTGTTTTGTTTGACATACTTGATAATGTCATCTTGCACACTTTTAAAACAATAATTATGACGTTGCTAGATTTGTCTTGGTGGTCACTTGTGACCCTTTTGTTATATTTCAGGCATTATTGTAGATGATACGTGTCGCACACCCCTGAGTCTGTCCTTTCTTCAGTAGATGTTTTACTCGGTGTTATTGTTTGCTGTTTGTTCTTTCACTCACTCACTCTTTCGGTTTCCCAGTCTCTCTGTCTCTGTCTTTGAGTCTCTCTCTCCCTCATGTCCTTTAAATCATCCCCTCATCCATCTCTGTCCTCTGCGTGACGAATCTCTCTCTGCTCAAAGGCACAGGCAGCATCTGGTGTGTGTTGTAAGCACAGCACTAAGTGTGTGAGGATTTAATGGAGCTTGACGAAGTGCTGCTATTGATTGAATTGGAATTGACCGTGTTCAGTTTCGAAGGCTTCTCCGAAAACAAACTGATCGAGTGAGCGACTATCAATCTCACTATGTTAGCTTTGACTTCAACTACAATTTACCCCATGTTTGTTCTTACATGTTTAGAGAACTAGTAAAAGAAAAGGCCTTGCTGCCTCACTGCCTAGTCAGTCGATGTCTTAGCCAATCTTTAGTGACTTCACTGCAGATGTCTCAGTAGAGCTGCGGTCGGAAGTTGAAGAAGGTGAAAAATGTAACATTTTATAAATGTATTTCTTTCTGCCTCTCCATCATATGCTATTTTGTTCTAGTGCATTGCACAAATGGATAGCATGTTGATCTACTTTAATCAGGAATGCTGGGATTACGTATATGTACTATTTCTGGTGTCATAATCCACTTTTAGTGTAGATTTGGGCATTTATTTTATTTAATTATTATTGTTTTTTTTATTTAGTTTTATTTTTTAGATCACACTGTTTTGCATGTCATGGCTATATACATTTAGAATTTATTTTATTTTATTGTATTTTATTATATTTTGTTGTGTTTTTTATTTTATTTTATTTTGTTTAGTTTAGATTCGTTTTGTTTAGCTTAGATCACAATGTTTTGCGTGTCATGGCTATATAAGTTTAGAATTAATTTGATTTTATTGTGTTTTTTATTTTATTATTTTTATTTTGTTTTGTTTTTCGTTTCGCTTAGATCACAATGTTTTGTGTGTCATGGCTATATAAATCCATAACATTTTTTTCATAGTTTTGAGATGCAATTTAATATACAATACACTGAATCTAAACTGAAAATGTTTAAATAAAGCTAGATGTTTGTGCTTCCCTCTGTACCATGGTAAAATCACAGTAATGCACAGTAATGCTCTTGTTATTTTATTTTATTTTATTCTATTTTGTTGTGTTTTTTATTTTATTATTTTTGTTTTGTTTTGTGTTTTGTTTCGTTTAGCTTCGTTTAGCTTAGATCACAATGTTTTGCCTGTCATGGCTATATAAATCCATAAAAAAATTGCCATAGTTTTGAGATGCAATTTAATATACAATACATTGAAGCTAAACTGAAAATGTTTAAATAAAGCTAGATGTTTGTGCCTCCCTCTGTACCGTGGTAAAATCACAGTAATGCACAGTAATGCTCTTATTTTATTTTATTTTATTTTATTCTATTTTGTTGTGTTTTTTATTTTATTTTATTATTTTTGTTTTGTTTTGTGTTTTGTTTTGTTTCATTTAGCTTAGATCACAATGTTTTGTGTGTCATGGCTATATAAATCCAAAACATTTTTTTCATAGTTTTGAGATGCAATTTAATATACAATACATTGAAGCTAAACTGAAAATGTTTAAATAAAGCTAGATGT